GGAGGCAAAGGGGCACTGAGCTGAGTTATGAATGAAATAAAATGGAGTTGGTAATTGTTGAAGCTGGGTGGTAGGTACTTGGGGATTTGTTCAACTATTTTTTGTAATTTTGTATGCCTGAAAATTCCCATAATAAAAAAATAAAAAATCATGCCCGGCCGGGCGCGGCTCAGCGGTTGAGCGTCGACCTAGGATCCAGGCAATCGGGGTTTGATTCCCGGTCAGGGCACATGCCCGGGTTGCAGGCTCGATCAATGACTCTCTCACCATTGATGTTTCTCTCTCTCTCTCTCTCTCACTCTCTCTCTCACTCTCCTTTCCTCTCTCTGAAATCAATAAAGATATATTTTAAAAATAAAAATAATAAAAATAAATAAATAAAAATAAAAAACCAACTTCAAGATCTTATACACCAATCACATACCGAGTCTTCTATGAAATATTCAAGAGACCAGAATAATTTAAAGTCAAATCTATTTTACACAGGGCCGTGATGGGCAAACTGAATTTGGCTGTTTTAGCAATTGTTTAAGTCAATATTAAAAATCACTTTTCTGGGATGGATGTGAATAACAAATGATTGGCAAATAATGACATACTCAATATTCTTTAGCCCTTACAACTAATTATGAAAGCTGGGCAGCGGCATTAATACACGAGATAGGAAAAGCCTAGGAGAACCATGATAAATACTGTACAATCAGAATCATGTGAAAAATGCCTGTGTCTGTAGATTAAGGACTAGAAGAAAATACGCTGAAGGTATTCTTACTACTGTCGTACAATAGAGGACATGGTGGCCTAGAGACATCAGAGCGACTGTGACTCAGCCTGGCGCCCAGCACTGCCCCTCGGCCGGGCGGGCCGGCTCCTTACCGGGAAGTGGAACCAGAAGGGAGCGCAGGACTTGACTAAGGTAACAGCCGCCGTCCCGCTCAGCTCCCGCCTCCCTCCTGGGAACAGTCCCCGGCTTCGCGGCCGATGGCCATCCAGCTGCAGAGTGTAACTGAGGTTGGTAACCAGGGATCCTGAGCAGGGGAAAAGGCAGGGGCTGAGTGGTGGCGGGTCCTGGGCCCGTAAGCCTGGACTGGGGCGGGGT